GCAGAGCAGCTCTCTGCTCTCCACCTCCCCCGAAGGCAAAGATCAGTGTTTGTGACACGAACTAGTCACCTGGGAAACTTGCACAGGGAGAGAGAAAGGCCTAGCACAGGCCTGTTCTTCCCTTTGCATTACTCCATTCTTCCACCTCCAGCTTGACTAAGTGCATCCTTCAGTCTTGGGAATGCCCCCCAAATCAGTTCTGCACTGATGTTATTCAAGGTCAGATGAGATTTCTGCTTTCAGCACTGATAGTACAATCCGCAGGAGAAAAGAGCTCGTAAATACAAAGGCCAGAGGTACCCCAGGAATATCTAATTCAATTCCCAATTCTCACCTGCATTTACTCTTTTTTTTCTTCCTCGCTCCTCCCCAAAGCAGCTACAAGACTCACCAGTGCTGTAAGGTCCCTGTTCCCTTTCACTGAACTGTAACCTTTCAGACAGTATCTTTTCCACTCAAGACTGAACACTCCATTACACATTCCCATGCTCTCAGGTTCAACACCTCTGCTCTCTCATGGCTTTTCCACGAAGGCAATGCTTGCCCTGCACACTGCACAAGATATCACGGAAGAAGCCACACTGTTTTGGAAAGTCCCACAGGTTGGTCAAGGCAAGGCAGAAAAAGTGCTTTCACAGGTCACCACGGCTGCCTTGATCCAAGGACAAAATTGTCCACAGAGGGGATTTGCAGTGGGCTCAGAAATGACCCAGGGCAAGCCAAAAGCAGTTCTCTTGGGCATTTCTCCTGAGTAACAACTGTGGGTATTTGAAGGAAAAGACTAAGCAACACCTGTTTAAGTAATGGTTAAGACATGGAGTTAAAACTTAACCTGAGTCAGTAAGGAATGCACTGCAGGCCCTGCTCTAGGGGCTGGAGGACAATAAATAATTCAGCATCTGCCCTACTTAGCCACCCCGGACAACAGGAGTCAGCGCTGGTCGGGCTGGGAATGTCCAGACAAGGAATGCAGCAGTTATTCCAGCAAATCAGTCCCAAGAGATCCAAGAGCCCTGGATAATAGCCACCACACACATTCCTGAAAAGCCCTCACAGCTTTCAAATACAGCCCTGCTAATTCATTTGCCCCCACGCACTGCAGCAAGGAGGCCTAACCCCTGCCGTAACGCAAGAGCAGCCCTACAGAAGGGCTGGTACCGCCAGGGCACTGCAGCTGCAGAGGGGGATTGAGGTTCTCCTGGTACAGACCCACACCCGGCCCCACGCAGGGCAGCTCGCCTCCAGCTCCCCTGCACCCTCATGCTCACTCTGTCACCTGCTCCAATGGGACACGGAGACGCTGGCTGTATTAGAAGGGTACATTAAAACCTTTGCTCTCCTGTGTGTTTTCTTTACAAAGGGTAAGGGCTTTCTTCCCCAACATGCAACCAAGGATCTCTTCCCTCACGCTAGCCACTTCACAGATGAGCTTTTCCCACCACCATCTCACATGCTTGAAACAGTGATCTTCCAGGAGGTAATTGAGATTAAAGGGACACAGAGAAAGAGATGAGCAGTCTCAAGGGCCAGCCAGGAGAGGAGCCGCCCTGCTTACTTCCTTTTGATCTCCACAGAGAACACCACGGAGCTGCCCTTCTCTTTTGATGTGTCACCCTGCAGCTTGTTCTCTCGCAGGAGGGCAGGCCTGTTGCAGCATGACTGCTCCGGATTTCAGCTGCTGGGGTTGCAAAGCTGCATTTCAGCAGCTTCTGTGCGTTTCACAGACTTCAGAGTCTCTGGGTTGACCCCAGGGGTGGAGGGGAGCTGAGAAGGCCAAGGAGGGACACCACCCTCAGACTCAGCTCTAACTAAATCCTTGTCACTCACATAGGAGACACATAAATTGCTAGTGCAACAATAAAGCAGAATTAATTATTATGGAATCATGAAGCACTCCACACCAGGATGCAGAGCAGAGGATCTGCAGTGCCATGTTTAATCTTTGGCCCACCATATACGACTTAGATGAAAGGGGTTTTAATCAATTACAAAGGCACTTATCTCAAGCACATTCTGCTTCAGAAACATGAGTAAGATCCCTCCTTACCTTCCCTGCTTCACAGCAAAGTCCCCACACTACAGTGAAAGACTTCAGAAAGATCTACTCCTCTGAAAATATTCTCTCTCAAAATAAAACCTTCTGCTCAGAGTCAAGCCACTCTGTGAAGGATCCAAGGATGGAATAGTTTTGTTGCAAATCAGGATAAAAATCTAGGCAGCTGATAATAAGCATTTTATAAGCCTGATCCACAGCTGATTGAACTCAGATTATCTGGTCATAACAGATCAGGTCTGCATACCATTTCACATTCACTCAAGGGCTTATCACACCAGATGTCAGGTTATGCTTCCCAGGGAAATAAAAAATGCAAGATCACAGGTCCAAGGAAAGGAGCAGCTCACCCGAGTTCTGCATCCAGCTGGTGAGAAGCCTAAGAAAGGAACCCATACTGCCCAACCGAGAATGGCAGTCTGTTAGACTTGAGCACCTTCAGTTCTTGTCGAAGCATTATGAGCACATCCCAACCCCAGGCTTTATTCTGCAAAGTCAAGACCCCTTCCGTGTCTGAACCTAGTGGGTGACCCAGCTCTAAGGTAACGAGGACACGCCCATATAATTAAATCCAAGAAACTCAAGCTTGAGCTGATAAGGGAATTGGTGGCCAGGCTTCCTCCCATCATGCTCCAAGGGATTTCTGTGCAAAGGCCTGTGGGAAACCAAACCTATCGCCCATGTTAACACAAGTGAATCTAATGAGAAGACTGAGGTGCCTGTAACGAAACCCCAAAGACTAAAGAAGGAGCAGGACAAACTTCCCACACACCACTTCACTATCTATCAACCTCTCCACTAAGTCCAGAGAGACTATATCTAAGCCTTGGAGACTCAGAGAGACCATTGCCTAGGCATCAAACTTAAGCGTACATGGCTAAGCTGCATCCATTTCCATAACCAACAGGGCAGCTACGCTGCTGTGAGCGGCTCATCTTTCCGATCCCCTCTGACCTCATTTGCAACAAGGCTGAACAGGACCAGCCTGCAGCACGTGTCCAGAGTGAACCTCAGACTCACACCTTGGATTTGCGGTTGCTTTTCCCACCAAGCTCCCCCCAACTCTGCCAAAAGGGCTCCATTTCCTCACACCATCAGCTCACCTAACAAATCAAAACTTTGCAAGAGAACTGGTTCACACCTGGTAGAGAAAAGACATCACGCATTTGGTTCGTGGCTTTTCTTTTCTCAGGTTTCCACACTGCCAGGAACAGATGCCCGTAGTTCCATGGGTTGACACCTCTCACTTTTCTCCTTTAATTCACAGGCAGCAAAATGCCAGGAAGAACATGAATGAACTTGCCCTCAGCTGAGCAAAGGAAATCCGAAAAATCTCCAGCTTCTGCCACACAAGCTTGTAGTGACAAGTTGCTGGGTTTCCAGCTAGAGGAAGCTGCTGTGGGAACAGACATGTTGCTGCCAACTCTCAGTTCCTAAACTTGATTCCTCCACTCTTGGGCTGGTCACACATTCTGGGGAAAGTTGAATTAAACCATTTTTGAACTATGTCACCATTTAGAAATGCTGATGAACAGTGTCTGCAAGGCTGTCACTACATATATGCGTAAGAAGGAAAGCAGAGAGCAGGGAGATAGGTGCTTACAACAGTCATTTGCCCTGGCAGCTGTCGACATCAAACTGATAAAATTACTGCTGTTGCACCATATTTGTGCACTAAACTTTTCCCACTGAGTGCATCCCTTGTACTCATCCAGCACAAGAATTTAGGAAACAGTGAACTGTCTCTTAGCAGAAGGAAGAGTTAAAATTAAGAAAAATTTTAAAATAATAAAAAAAGACCTCTCATTGAGTCCATCTAAATCTTACTTCCTCCAAAGGCTGGAAGCAACTGCAGAATCATCCAGAAACTGGAACCTAGCTTATGCAGGGCTAGGTGCTTCACCTCTTCTGCCTAGATTTTTCCATCCAAGGAAGGGGGATAATTAGCTGCGACTTGCTACACAGCAGTGGCGTGAGACTTAATTAGTCAGAACACTTTGAAGGTATGGTACCTTATTAATATCTGAAGTGGCTGCAGTGATTATTATGAACAATGGCATAGCTCACAGCTGACGATACAGCTCAGCTCATCAGTATTTTTCATTCTCAAAAGTGCTGTGCAAACACACAGCCAATATTCCACATCAGAAATCTCCACAGTGGTGGGTGGTTATCAGGCTCACTTCGTGGATGGAAAAACTGAGGCAAGCTCTGATGGAGCCCAGCAACAATCACAGACCATGGGAACTCCTCACTTGCTACCGGGATGGAACAGGGCAGCAGTTTCACAGTCCCATCACAGTACCCTGTAACATTTTGGGTCTGTTTGGAAATGCTCAGCAATACATGCGCTGTGTAGGTGTTGAATTTAGCATGCTCTTGTAAGCTTTAAAGGTAGGAAAGAGCAAGCAGTATCTCTTAACTCAGCCTCCAACACAGGCACACACACACACAAATGATGTGGCACATAACGAGCGAGCCAGGACAGCTGTGGGACCTACACATCAGCACAGCCTGATGCCATATGCTCTCAGCTGAGCAGTGGGAGCACAGCCCTCCCTCTACATACACAGGGAAGTTGCATCTCCCTTGTTTTAGCAGCAGCAACCACCACCAGGTTGGCCCCATCCTCGGATCATGAAGATGAGCAACCAGCATTTCAGCACAGAGGCCTCTGCGCCTCCCCTCAGCTCAGGTACCACAAGCTCTACAAGGGTAACCACCCCCGGGACTCACACAAGCAAGGGGCAGCTCTAATTCACCAGCTGTACAATGAACAATTACCAACCAACTCTACAAAGTGCTCTCAGCACAGGGAACAGAAGTGCTGGTTTTAACCCTCATCTTTACTTTCATTCTGTCCTGCCTTCAGGAGACATGGGAACACATTTTAGACACATTGCAAAATGCAGAGTACAAAAAAAAAATAAATTCTCCAGAGCCTTACATAAGCCCTGCAGTTGAGATCCACAGGCTCTCCCCATCAGTGTCATGGAGCTGGGTTCCCACCTCTCTCATCTCCCAACAGCTTCCTGGAGAGCAGAAGCAGCAAGCTGAAAAGAAAAGAGATTTATTTTTTTTTCTCCTGTCTGCTAAAGGATTGACTTAGTTTTGAGCTCCTTAGTATCCCAAGAACAGCACAGAGATTTGACATTATATGGAGCTGTACTTGTGGTTATATCCAAAGGACAAGAAACAAAGCACACTGCTGTGCTAAAGCCAAACAGAGCTGATTTTGGAGCTCAGCCATTTCCGAGACAGTGGGACATATTGATGTTAGCAGTGTAATAGTACAGGCTTGAGACACAAATAAGAAGTCATCACACTGTTACATGCACGCTGGGCCGGTTTGCAGGTCTATACATGGCCAGCATACAAAGGCTGGAAAAAAAAGAAGAAAAAAAAAACCCAACCCACAATCTTTCAACAAGCAGCAGCCCAAAAGAATCCCCCAGGCAGATACTGATCTATCACTCAGTGCACAAGGAACATAAGACAGGGTCTCTTTGAAGGGGAAAGTCATTCTAGATGGGTGCAAGGGATGTCTCCTGGGTGTCTACTATCCCAACAGCTCTTCATAAAATTTTTCACATGCAAGTGTGTAAATCCCCAGAGGAAAATGAAAGGCAAGAAACCCTACTGACCCCTTTAGGCTTGAGCACTGAACAGATAAGTCCAGGTCTGTTTAATAAATATTTCAAAGTTCAAAGAAAACAGCAACTAATATTGACACAATCCAACAGAAACATCCCAAGGGGCAAGGCTGTAGGTTGCACGATGCTCCAGTGCCACCTGGTGCACAATGCAGGAAAGCAGCTGAGTAGAATGAAAGGGGAGGCTGAGCTGCCTGGCAGCACTGGGTGAGCCAACACCCCCCGAGTCGTCAGCAGAGCTTACCCATAGATCACAGTGAATGTCGGATGAAGTGCTTAATTACCAAAGTGATAAATGTTCTATATAAACCAGGAGAGAGATCAGGCACTTGGGTGAACCCTCAGGAGAACACATGACAGATTGGTTCTCCCTTCACTCCCACAGGGATAGTGAAATCAGCCCAGACTTAAAAGTCATATTGAAGAAAATTAACCACCACCACCACCAGGGAAGGCACACTTATCTGCAGCTGAGAAGGCAGAGGAGCTCTCGGGACTCCTGGTAGGAGTCCTGAGTATTTTCTATATAGCAGAACACTGAAAGTTGCGTTTATGTGAAGAGCCTCAAAGCCTTTCTGTGACCCTACACAGTCTCTTTAAACACATGTACACACACACACGCACTTTTTTCACACATCTATCCATGGATCCCAGCAGCTTTTCATCCAGAAGGCTGCAGCCAGAACACTCACAAGCTTCATACTTTCACCCGAGTTCATTGTGGAGGAAATGAAAGCTTGCTTCTTTTTCCCCCTCCCCTCCACTATCACTGCATGAGTAAACAAGGAAGGCCCAGTTAAGGAAAAGTAAAACATAACCAAAATTTCTTTCTGCTCCTGCACACAGGCTCACCTGGGCACGAGAACTGATAGACAAGAGCACCTTCCAGAGGAGATGGCCTCCTGTCCTCTCCTGACGCAACGCTTACGGCACGGCATGTACCTGGGCTGCCCGCTCACTTCACAGGAAGAGAGCAGCGGGACCTAGAAATTCATGAGAGTCATCAGTTATCTCTCTCTGTACGTCATAGTCTGCCCAGGTAAGGTTTTTAATCTGTTTAGACAACACCACAGAAGCGTGACTTCTACTACCAAAGCTAACACTATGTATGAACCAGAGCTAGTATGGATATTAAAACAAGAAAAATGAAGTTAAAATAAGACATTTTGCTCAAGTTTTCTTTCTTCATTGATTTTACTGGGAGGGGAAAAAAAAAAAAAAAAAAAAAAAAAAAAAAATCACAAAACCCAGTGAAAGTTGCTACAAGCCTAGCAAAGTCTCATTTGAGCCTGGAAATACAAGGAAATTAGAAACTCGGTTACCTGGCACTGCTTAGGGTGTTGAGAACAATGTGAACAAAAAGAAGGATTAAAAAACCCAACACAGTATTTAGGACAAAATTAAGTTATTTTTATTTTAAGGATATTACTACAAAAAGCACTGTTATACAGTTAAATGAACACACACCCTACCACAGAAATCCCTTGCTCCACAGGAGGATCACACCACTGTCAACTTCCATAGCACACTCCAAGCAAGCCCCAGTGCAAAGGGACACTGATCACAGCCTGACCAACATCAGCAAGTCACAGGATGGTTTTGGGGGGAAGAGACCTTTAAAGGCCACCTAGTGCAACCCCCTGCCACGAGCAGGGACATCTTCAACGCGATCAGGGTGCTCAGAGCCCCGTCCAGCCTGACCTTGAACGTTTCCAGGATGGGGCATCCACCACCCCTCTGGGCAACCTGTTGACCAGACACCCTCTGCAACCATCCAACTTACTTTTTCATAGCTAGCAAACCAGGTTATATGTTTTCTAAGAGCACTTTGTTCAGAAAACATGACAAGAAACAGAACAAACAGTGCATCACATGGGTCAACAGAAAAGTTCCCTTTCCTTGAAAAACTCCAGGGACAAAAAAGGCATGTTCTCTCTTCTTTCAGAGAATATTCTTGGTACACACAGAAAGCACATATGTAGCAACTTTGATTTCAAGAGCACTTTCTAGGAACAGCAATGTCAGAACCCACAAGGTAGGTTAAAACTGCTACCACATTTGGCAGATGAAAAAAAAAAAAAAAAAAATCACACAGGCATTACTTGCCTCAAACTCCCTAGGGAGATCAAGGCCTGGTCCCAGGAGGGATTTAGGAATTCCTACATCCGACTCTGTAAACAGCAAACACCTCCTTGCCTATGAATTCATGAATGTGAGAGGGCCACTGTCAGTCACTGCTCCTGTCCTGAAGACTCCCTGCTCTTGTGATTTGAGCCATTTGACTTAAAAAGCAAGAGACTTCTGTCCCAGCTGGTGCTCCCAAAGCAGCACACCAGCTCCATGGCGCAGTCCTGCGTCAAGATCTGGGTTATCCTCTCTGCCATATCCCCATTGATAGCAAGAGATCGGAAGTGATCAAAGTCATTTCTGCCCAGCTTCCGCAGGCGGCGCGCGGCCGCCCTGTAGCACTTCCACGGCTGAGGTTCAATCAGCAGGTACTTGCACAGAGAGGAGAGGAAGGACAGGAACTCCATCAGGCCACTATCCCCATGATTCAGGTGGATCCACATGGTCACAGACATGCAAAAAACAATGTCAAAGGTGGAGCGGCCGAAACGGCCCAGGTAGGAACTCAGGAATGGCTCCCTGGCACCGGAGTCCATGATGTCCAGGTTGGCAAAGGATATGGAGGCAGGAAAGGGGCTGCACTGCTGAGCCCTCTCAATCAACGCTGGATCAATGTCACAGCACAGAAGGTTCAGATCCTTTCCAGCTGCAGGCTGGTCCAGGCTGCCTTCGCTCTCCTGAAGGCCAAGGAGATGCCTGTACAGAGCCACGCTTAGCTCCTGCAGAAAGGAAAACAACAGGGGTTCACGGGGCCTGCACCGCCTCATTAACACATCACAAACACACAGGATCCTGCTCTCAGCAGCAAGGTACAAGCGCCAACTCAAGAGCCTGCTCTCGATGAAGTTCAGAACAATAAGCTCACTGACAACCTTCCTTTCTGTAGCAAAATGCATCACAGCAGCCCTGACTACTGGAAAGTCAGAGATTGGAACTAAAACTGTATCATCACACACTTGGGGGTTTGCTCCAAAAACTATGGGAAAGATGAGTTTTAGGTACAGGAATCTTGCTGGATATCCCCAACCAATGTGAGGGTGAAGGAATCACTGGCTTCCCTACGTGAGCCACAGAGCTCCCTAGCGGCACTTAGAGCTATTTATAATGCCTAATTTAGAGTAATAAATTCCTTCCGCTGCTGCTAAAAGACATTCCCTGACCATTCGATTGTAGCATAAGATAATTAGCATGAGAGCTTTCCTTTGAATTTCCTTTCGCAGAGTGCACCACTGAGTGGAAAGTGTATTAATCTTTTATTAAAGGAAATCGATGAATTCCTGAATGATGGACTCAAAGCCTGCAGCTCAGACAAGCAAGCAAAGGGTGTCCTCTAGTGGTGAAGGGCTCTGCACCTCAAAACGATTGGACAGAACATTTTTACCTAACCTGTTTCACAAGTTCACCTGAAATAAGATCTAGAATTGTCCTTTAGCAAATGCCTTGGGCAGACCTTCAAACTTTCTGGCAGGGGGCTGGGGGAAGAGAAGCCGTAGAAACAGCAGTACTCTTGTCCCCAGCCAGAATGCAAATTAATTCTGAATGAATAATTATTTCAAAGTTAATACATTAGATAAAGTTTCCATCTGAAAAAAAAAAAAAAAAAAAACTTTTAAAACACCTTTAAACATAGTATAATTAAACACTGCACCAGAATGCATCAGAGATGCACAGATACTTCTGTATTACAACACAACAAAGCTGCAAGCTGAGGAAAAGCTGTGAGAGAAAAAAAGCAGAACTAGTTAAAAGAAGAGAATGAACTTTCAAAAACGGAAAATACTTCAAGATTCACCAGCTCTGTCACAGTATCTTCAACAGCATGCGACCAGGATTTTAGTTTCAAGTTCTGTCTCACGAATAAATGAAGTGATACTACACAATACACAACAGGTTATGGTTTCTAGCTTCAGGCTTGTGCAGTTCTGCTCTTAGGGCAGTCCTGTAGCGGCTTTCTGGTGCTTGGGACACGCAGCAACCTGGGGTACTGCAGGCTTAGGCCTCACCAGGAAAGAGGACAGACCCACCAACACAGTTTCCGAAACCAACTCTCAGCAACACAACCAGCTCTGCCCCACCCCGCCTTCACCCCAACCCTCACCCTCCTCTCACAGGAGACCTGCAGAAGGGTTTCCCACACACCGGTGACCTCCCGACCCCCATGAGTCTCCTGCTGCACTCAAGTCCTGCTTTCCCACTGTGCCCTTCATCCCTGACCCAGACTGCTACCTCCACCCCAGGCTGTCCCATTCCTCACCAGCCCCCCAGGTCAGTGCTCCCACCAGCCTTCCTCGCTGCTCTCCAAGGCCCCAGGCCACTATCCCCACCCAGTCTTCTCAGTCTGCCCCATTCTTCCCCAACATCCCATAGGAATGTCTCCCCCAACATTCCCAGTCTTCCCTCCAACATTCCAGCTCACTGCCTGCCCCAGCCTCCCCACTCTGCCTCAATGCCCCCAACACCAGTGCCTCGCCACCTTTCCAGTCTGCCTCCCAACACCTCAAGCTCCTGCCCTTCCTAGTCTCCTCCATCCACCTCACTAGTTCAGGTCACCACCTTTCCCAGTTTGCCCCATTTCTCCCCTCCCAGGCCCTTGTCCCCACCGCAGTCTTCAGTCTGCCCTACCACCCTAGACCTGTGCCTTATCCCCAGTGTTTTCCATAGGCTGGTCAGTCCTCCAATACCCCAGACAAGTGCCTCCCCAGTCTGCCCCACTGTCCCCCCAAAACCCCAGACCAGCGCCACCCCTCGCTCTTTCTCCACACCAGAGCCTTCCCGCTGTCTCACAGCCCCACAAAACCCCAGACCAGTAGCTCGCCTAAATTTTTCTCACAGGCCCCCAATACTCCAGACCAGTACCTTCCCCCCAAATCTCTCCAGTTTCCCCCACACCCCAAACCACCATCTCAGCGTTCCCCTCGCCCCAGGAACCCTCAAGCCTGCTGCCCCGCGGCCTACCCCTCCCGCCGCCCGCCGAGGCGCGCTCTTACCCCCGAGTTGCACCCCACATCGAGCCCCAGCAGCGGGCGGGACGCCGCGGGGAACAGGCTCCGCAAGAGCCCGCCAGGCAGGAGGCTGACCCGGACCTCGGGAGGGTGGAAGCGGGAATAATTGGGAAAGTTGCCGTAGGGAGCAGCGCCTGGCTCCAAAGCTGGAGGCCCCTCGCTCATGGGCGCCGCCATTTTCTTCTGTTACCCGCGAGCGCCGGGCGGGAACCGGGAGGGAGCAGAAGTGTTCCGGGGAAGAAAGGTTCCGGGGGGGGCGATTGCGCATGCGCCTACCTGCATGTGGGCGGGGGTGGCCCCGCGGCCTCGGCGGGCTGAAGGGGACAGGGATGGGGACAAGGGGCAGCTGCCAGCAACCAGCACAGCCGCAGCCCCCCTACCCCCGCCTGTCCGGGTCCCTCTGAGAGAAAAGAATAATTCTTAGAGATGGATGCACAAGGCCATGGAACCTGATGAAGTGTATTCGCGGGTCCTGAGGGAACTGGCGGATGAAGTGGCTCAGCCACTGTCTGTCATATTTGAGAAGTCATGGCAGTCGGGTGAAGTTCCCGCTGACTGGAAAAGGGGAAACATAACCCGCGTTTTTAGAAAGGGGAATAAAGAGGACCCAGGGACCTACAGGCTGGTGGGTCTCACCTCTGTGCCCAGCAAGATCGTGGAGCAGATCCTCCTGGAAGCTGCTAGGGCACATGGAAATCAGGAGGTGATTGGTGACAGCCAGCGTGGCTTCACTAAAAATTGTGCCTTACCAATTTTGTGGCCGCCTACGAGAGGGTCACAGCGTTGGGGAAGAAGGGAAGTGCAGCCGCCGCCCGCTCCCCGCCGCCCCCCGAGCTGTGCGGTGGGGGACACGCGGGGGGGCAGGGATGCCATCCCGAGGGACCTGGGCAGGCTGGAGAGGGGGGGCTGTGGGAACCTCCTGGGGTTCAACACGGCCAAGGGCAAGGGCCTGCCCGCGGGTCGGGGCGATCCCAGCACAAACCCAGGCTGGGCCCTCGAGGAGGGGATGGAGAGCAGCCCCGAGGAGAGGGGCTGGGGGGGCTGGGGGGGGAAAACTGCCCCTGAGCCAGCCCTGTGCCCTGGGCTGCAGCCAGAGCAGGGGGGGCAGCGGGGCCGGGGGGGGGATCCTCCCCCTCTGCTCCACTCTGGGGAGACCCCCCTGCAGTGCTGGGGCCAGCTCGGGGGCCCCCAACAGCAGAAGGACCCGGAGCTGCTCGAGCGGGGCCAGAGGAGGCCACGGAGATGCTGGGGGGGCTGGAGCAGCTCCCCTGGGGGGCCGGGCTGAGAGAGTTGGGGGGGTTCAGCCTGGAGATGAGAAGGCTCCAGGGGGGACCCTGAGAGTGGCCTCCCAGGGCTTAAAGGGGGGACAGGAGAGGGGGGGGGGGACTCTGGGTCAGGGGTGGGGGTGGGACGAGGGGGGGCGGTTTTGCACTGAAAAAGGGCAGATTTAGGTGAGCTCTAAGGCAGAAATTGTTCCCTGTGCGGGGGGTGAGGCGCTGGCCCAGGGTGCCCAGAGCAGCTGTGGCTGCCCCCTCCCTGGAAGGGTTCAAGGCCAGGTTGGACGGGGCTGGGAGCCCCCTGGGCTGGGGGAAGGGGGCCCTGCCCGGGGCAGAGGAGTTGCCACTAGATGATCTTTAAGGTCCCTTCCAACCCAAACCATTCTATGATTCTATTCTATGATTCTATGGGTTTGTGTAAAAACACACCGCCTGGGCCCCCCACACTAGAGCAGGCCAAAGAGGCATGGCTCCAACCACCCAGGTATAACATTCAGCCCTGCCACCTTTGCCCAAGCATTGCCATGGTGACACTGTGGTCTAGCATAGGGGCACAGGCCTTGGGGGGGATCTTGGGGTCCCACCCACCCAGGGTGCCTGGGCAGCAGGGCCCTGGAGGAACCACCTCCCCTGAGAAGCAACCCGCATGCAAAGACATGTCAAATAAAGCCAGAAATTTTATCTCAGCTTTCACTCAGTGCTGGTGTCAAAACCCACCTGAGTATGAACAACCCAACCTCAGCAAGCACTTTCCCCATTTATAAAAGCTTTTACAAGCTTCTATAGAAACGTTATTTAGACATATATAGATAAATAACATACAAATGTTACTTAAATAGCATTTCAACATGTGACTGCCCTATGTTTTCCCAGGCCCCCATAGGCAGGCAGTGAGCAGGAGGTTTTACAGCAGAAGACAATGAAAGCTCATGGTTAAAGGAGGTAAAAAGATTTGGCATGGTGAACATTTTAGGGTCAGGTTGACACAGGGAACTTGGATTTCATTTTCTGCTGCTTTTTATCACAGCGTGAAGAGCAGAGGGCGCCAGGAGCTCAGAAATGCAGGTGAGCAGCTCCTGCCTGAATCGGCCGCTTCTGCGTTTTGTTCTTGCCACGGAAGAAGCAAGCAAGGATCAGCAGGGATCCTCCACACTGTGGCAAGACCTGACTCTGGCTGTATTTAGGTCCCCCAGATTCCTGTCCTGTTTGCCATAGGCCTGAGAAACAGCACGATCCCTTCCTCTTTCCAGCATCCTTCACACCCTGATGAATCTCCCCGTCTCCTCCCTCGTCCCGCATCCCTGCACCCTACCTCTGAGTGGTCCCACTTTGATTAAGCCAGATGACTTTGCCCCATTCCTCAAGAGCCAGGTGTTGAAATTTGACTGAATCATCAGCCTTTGTTCCCTTTGTGGTAATTACAGGAACAGCTAATGATGTCTTATATAAACACTCATGGCCACCTCAGTGTTTGCATGGAAATGCTCCGCTTCTGTTATTTTTCCACAAATGCTGTCCCATAGCAGAGCAATACCCAGCAAAACACAGGGCAAAATATTTTCTTGTTGCAGAAAAACGCAACAATGATCAGGAATGCCCATACTGGCTGTACCACGCTGTTTAACCACACTTCTTAGGGAAAAAAATCTCACACCTGCTTTTTGGGCAAGGCTCTTCCCAAAGAGCAGAGGTCTGTTGCAACAAGATGCTGCAGTTGGGATTTCTCTCCTCAGAGCTCTGACAGCCTGGACTAAGCAGCACTTCAGAGCTGATGGAGACAGATAGGAGTTTTCATCTCCCAGAGTAGGCATTAATTTAGGTCAGGTGAATTGCTCTCTGGAGACATTTCTTTTTCCCTTTGGCTCTAGAGAAAGTTTAGTACATCAGGCTGCTCTCCAGAGCTACAGACAGTGCCCTCTGAGCAGGTATCTTGCTTACAACACTTACTTATCCCACTTACTTGTTTTTTAATCCTGTGACCGCTTAAACCAAGTTTAAGAGAGAACAGGATCCTCACTCAGGTTACCCTTTTGCTCTCAGTTCTCAAATACTTCTCATGCACAATGCCTATGCTGGAGCCATGTGCATTTTATTACTTTGTGTAGGATGTTCCTTAGTCATAACCAGAGAAGGGACAGCCTGCTCTCCATTAAAACTTTGAGCTGTGCTCCAGTCCTGCTTACATTTTCTGTTTTAAGGGGATGAAGCACCAGCTGTGTAACCAGACCTTCCTCCAGCAGCACTTTAGTAAAGAGACCTCACAACAGCAAGAACAGTTTTGCAACAATTTATTAGCAATGTTCAGAGAAAATACAAAATCCTATTTACAATGAAATCATAAGAATGGCCGGACAAAAGGAGCAGGGGGATACAGAGCCAGGGTCTGGATGATGCAGACCTCAGGTAAAGGACATCCACACGGAGGAAGAGAAGCAGCCCTGCACCTCCGCTGCGCAGATGGCCAGGGAACCCAGCAGGAACATGCCCATAGCAGTATCCCACCCCTAATCCTGTGTTACTCAGCCTCATGAGGATTTCCACCTCTCTGAGCACGTACGTATTACTCGGTGCTTCAGTCCAAGTGCTTTCAGTAGGTCTGGCTTGGATGGACTGCAAGTCATAGGGGTCAGCGCAGAAGAGGGACCAGGACACATGCAAGAAGGGAGCCCTGTGGAGGGACACGGGAGGGCAGCAAGCCATCCCCACTCAAGTGGCCTGGAGCTAGAGCAGGTGCCATGCAAGCTTTTCCCACGCGGGAGCAGAAAGCCAGGACGTAGCAGCAGCTCAGGCAGCGGCAAAGTTACTCCACACCAGAAGGAAAAAGAGCAAGAGATCCAGAGTGGGCTGCAGATCCGTGTTCTCCCCAGGTCCAAGGGTATTCAGGGCCAGTTTGGAGGAGTCCCGGTGCAGTAAAGAAGGCTGCAGAGCTCTGGTCTAAATTATCCTCCAGAGGAGGAGTTTTGGGACTATTTCAGAGTCAGAACTTGCCACATAACTCCATACTCCCTCCTCAAAAGTTGGAGAGCAGAAACACTAACAAGGCCTTTTGCTGTGAGCGGAAAAAGGCTGCACAGCCAGTCTGCTAAGATACTTCAGAAGTGCCTGCATGGGTCCGAGCCAGAAAATTCCCTCTTTAAACTCCTATTTCATAAACTTTTAGGGTGCTTCCCATACTGTCCCCTCTCCCAGTTCTGCCTGGTCAGCAATTCAAGGCCCTTGTTTCTTCTCTGTGAAGCACTGTAGAAACCAGTGGGTCATGAACTTAATGCTGTCATCACCTAATAGTCTCCTTCATCCTTAAAATGATTTTGGCTTTGCTTTCGTTTCTAGTTAGGGGGTTTTGGGGAAGAAGGTAAGATGGAAGGCATCAGCTGTGCTGCTGTGTGATCCTGGACAAGGTTAGTGCAGCCGCAGAGGGGCTGAAGCATTTTTACTCTGCACAGTAACTTTCCTCTGCCCAGCTTGGGGCACTGAACACGTGTGGCGGGAAGATACAACATGTGAAGGGTAAAAGCCAGGGCAGCAGCAGAGGAGGAATGTGTGGTACGGAGCATTTTGGCATAGCCTCTCTTGGACACGCAGGGAGTGCTGGAGGCAGCTTAGTGACGCACTTGCCCTGGCATTCCCAGAGAGATTGAAGATACGGGTTTCTATCAGTAGAAAGGATCACTTTTTAAATAAGAGCAAAAGGCCTCTTATCTCCACCTGGAGCTTTACAGTTAGAAATTAGCCAGCTAATCCCCCAAACAGGGGAATGTGAGCAAGGGGAAGATGGAAAGTTACCTGAGCACTCAGAGGCATCCAGTGCTCTCACTGACATCCCCATTTGGGGGAGCAAAACTGGAAAAGGGCCAGAGGAAGAGGCGACACTGGTGTTTGCTACAAAGCCATGTTTTGAGCAACAGGCATTCACCCTGGCCTCAGTGTCCAGGGAGTAACCACTTAGGACCATTAATCTCAAGCAACCAAGACAACTTTGTGAAGGCATCAGATCCCTAGGATGGGTCACAGGATCTCAGCCACCCATTTCCCCCATGGGGAGGTGCCTGGCTTTGCACAGCCTCTTCCATCTCTTCTCTGCCAATAATCCTTACGTGGGATCACAACCCTCCCAAGTGAAGAGCCACCCTTCAGAGAACTGAACATGTCCCCTTGGGTGGGGAGGTGAGCCCACAGCCCATGGATCTGCTATCCCACTCTGGGAAGTAAAGAAAGTACATACTCAGCCCCATGGGCAGATGCGAAGGATACAGAAGAATTCTTCCTGCAGGGTCATTAGGGATATCCTCAAAGAGGCTGCACATCCTGAACAACAGGTTCCCTTGTGCCTGGAGGACTGATTGCTAGGACATCCAGACTACATTGTCCCGTGCTCTGCACTTCTAAAAGCAGGCACTATCAGGAATATATGTCTGTAGAGGCCACAAGGCTCCAAATGAATGAAGGAGAGGAAGAGGGGGATGCAATTATTTCCCTATATTATTTCCTTTCTCCCTTTCTTCAACTGGTTTTCCTGCCAGGATCCTAGCAAAATTCCTTACTCCCCTTAATTTTATTTTCCCTCTGTAGAGCTGGTCTGGGCACTTCAACATCCCATGATGTACAGGACTTAGACAGGCAACTCTGACAGCCTCTGGGGGAGAGCAGATCTTGGTCTCATGCCTCCCAGTCTCTGGTCTGGTTTGATCTCAGTAGGAGTGGAGGGAGCAGAAGAGACATAACACTTAAGCCCTACTTTGCTTTCTGGTTCACAAAGGCCTAACAGCATATATACAAGCTGCATAAGGAACCCAGGGGCTTTGCTCAGCTGATTGAATGGAGCCTACTAGTGGGCCAGAAAGGTTGGGTTTGGTTTTGTTCGGTTGTTTTTTTTAATCCTTTTTTCATCATCTTATATTTTTCTTAAACGCTTGCATCTTGCCAGCAAGAGAAGATACCTTGCTGCACTCACTCCTGACTGGATCCAAAGAACTGGAGGAAGAAGGAGAAGATGTAGATGATGTCCAGATAGATATTGAGGGCTCCAAAAATGTATTCCTCTGGGCTCAGTGAGTACCGACGATTCCCCATCAACATCTGGGTATCAAATGCCAGGAACTGTGAGGAAAGAGTAGGAAACCCAATGACAGTCACATGGAGATTTGGCACAGAGAGGCAAGAATTGCTCTAATGACAGCAGTTCTCCCAATTGCTTCACTGTACCCAGAACAAAAACATAGCCACTTTTTACAGGCTGTAATTGCAAGTTAAAAGCTCGGAAGAATGCCCTGAACAAGCCGCAACTTTCCCCTTCCTTCTTTTCACTCTTGATAGTCAAACTGAGACTAACTGTTACTCCAGGCCCGCTCCCTTCATGCTTCATCTCAAATGGGCCCCAAGATCAGCTCTGGAGTTCTCCCTGTTCTTCCTCAGCCAGTCCCTACGAGTTGTTATTCCCAGACTTCCCCCGGTTCAGAAACACCTGCCAGGTAGCAAGGTGACCTGGACCCAGCGTGACATTGCAGCGGCAGCAACACCAGAGCAAAGAGCAAGAAAGCCCAGATCCTGGGCAGCACCAAGGCCTGCAGAGGTAGCCAGACTCGGAGGGGAGCCAGCACCTTTCTGAGGTACAAACATGACTCAGTGCATGGCAGATTTTACCAGCGAAACCATCACAGTGGGAACCCACTGCCCATCCTGCCTGCAGGGACACAGCACTCACAGGAAAAATGGGCTACAAGGCAAGATGCAGGAAAACCTCCACCTCGTTGCGCGGCTTCAAGCCCAATATCTGCTCCCATCTCACCTTTACTCCCTCTGGTAACCTAGCCCATGACAGACACCTTGGCATGGAGCTCTTCAGGGTTGGCAGGGCATCTCTGCCATCACCTGGGGTCAGCTGGCACCTCTGCCCTCCCCAGTCATAACTAACAACTGATCTCCCCAGACACTGTCAGGCTGAGCTAAGGTTCTGACTGAAGTTTATGGGGTAATTATGTTTAGCTTATTTGTATTTTACAGAAGAGTTTTTAATCATGAATCACAGAAGAAATATCTGAGCTCACTTGAAATGACTTTTATAACTAATAAGAACAGTTGAGCAATTTCATTTATTCTCAACATGCCCAATAGGCACTGTCTTGAACCCCAAGCGAGCCCTCCTCTTGACCCCACCTCGAGGTAACACCAAGCATCTTCCCAGACAACTCCCACACCTGAATGGCAGGCATGGCACTGCTGGGACTTGCTCGGGGAAGAGCCTCCCGGGAGGGACTGTCAGGGAGCACTCGAAGGAATGAATCAGGCCTTTTCCCACCTTCATTAGAGGAGCTGCCCAGATTCAGGGCTTTTCCTGCCTGCGGTGAACCTTCCTCATGTCCCGTCACCCCAAACCACGGCCTCTCTTCCTATACCTCTGTTTCTGTTAGTCAAACCCATGCCCAGACCTTGGCTCACTCCCGCTCAGCTAGCCCTGACTTGACTCTCTCACTTCTGCAGCCTCATTTCATCCCCAAGTTCCCTCTGAGCCCTGCAGTCCAGCTCTCACTGATGTACTGGAACTTGGTCTCCAATTTTCCCACTTGGGAGATGCCTTTTTGCCCTGTCCCTACAACGCTTTCTGCTGTTCACACCTAGTATTGCACATACAGCAGGGGTTTGCCAATCACACCGTGCTCTGCACCAGCGCTGTCACGTACACCAACACCTTCTCAGGACAAGGCTGAGGTCACTGCAGTAATTGCTATTCATGAGCCATTTGAGGATGTGGAGCTCTCTGCAACCCTGTGACTCGCTCTTCTCCCTTCTCAAGCACCCTTCAAGGCTAAAAGCATTTACTCTTTGCTTATTTTTTCCTGTCAGCACATTCCCAGGCCCCGTGACCAGCACCCACTTACCATAGTAAATATAATGGCACCGAGCAGAGCATAGATTGCGTGAAGCCAAGGGACCTACAGGAAACAAATCCATCAGTCAGTGCCTGGGAGAAAAATGGTTAATTAGGACTTGACACAGGAGAGGGCTGAGCTCTCACGTGGGGGATACAAGTTAGGGAAGGTGCTCTAATAGCCCAGGATGGACTTGCAGCACCTCCAGCTCCAACAGAGTTTCTGTTGTGGACCTTTTCATGGCAAAGAACAGGTCACTGTGCCTCAGTTTCCCCTCTCACTGTGGCTTTTGTGTCTCTTTGGCTCATAAGCTTCTAGCTCAGGTACTTGTGTTTCCAAATAGCCTACTTTGCCACAGCTTCTGTCTCTTTGGAAATGTCTCAGCACTATCCTGATGGAAACACATTTAACAGTAGCTCCAGAAAGTGTTTATTTACCCAGACAAGGCTGAACCCACTGGAAGAAACACCAAACGCTTCCAAGAGCCAGACCCAGCTTTAGTTAACAAGTACAGCTTAAACGTGCTCATCTGCTGAAGTCACAGCAGGAATTTCACTGGAACTAAGACCAAACCCCAACCCCTGCTTGCTGCGGCACAGCAGCACACAGTGCTAATGGAGAAGCTGCCTGTATTCCAGAAGAAGGTGCCCACACCAACTGCTGATTCAATCCAGAGCTCACAGCCTGCCTCCCCAGATAGACAAGCTCATTACAAGGCCGCCTCAAGCTATGCTTATCTTGACAAGCTACAAGATAAAGAGTAGTTGTCTCAACAGTTTAATGGCAGTGGCTTGGCACTGCAGGCTGGTTTACCCTCACGTTAGCACAGGGGAGAGGTGAAACTCAAGCCAAGACAACCCAAATCCAAGCTCCTGGGTTTGGAAACACGAGTCTGTGTATTTGTCCATCATCAGATCAACTCCAGGGCTAGTACCAGTGGGAGTATCTTCTGCAGGTCTAGCCCTTAAAGTAGTCTCGTGTCCCCAGAGAAGCCCGGTGGGATGTGGAGGCTTTGGAGGTCACTTAAAGGCTGCTGTGATCCAAAAGCTGGGTGCCTCTGCCTTCAGCACAGCAATCACTCAGGGTGATTAATGGTGGCTGCACAGCCCCACACACATTCCCTCTTTCATCAGCACCTTCCAGGGTCTGTCAGGCTCTTGCCTGAAGGACGACTCACCTAATGAGATGCTCTTGGATGGAGACCAGACACTGTACTGCCACACCAAACCCTCTCTCAGGTGTGGTTACAAGCTGCTCCAAGATTTCAGCTGGGTACAGCCAACACCAGCTGGGAAGGGGCTGGAGCCATGCCAGAGTGGCTGGCAGCAGCTGGAAGAGTGGTAAGGTGGTCACTCATCATCAGGACTTGTCCCTGGGATCCAAATCACCCTCCAGAAGTGCTTATTCCTGAGAAACTTGAGCCTCGAGATTTAAACACTGCAGGAAGCTGCCTGTAGTTAGTGTGGATACAGCCAGGTCTGGCCAGACAGGCACCCCACTGCACTTGTCCAGAGTCCAAGCCCTGTCCTGAATTTGGGGGAAGGGCCCTGCGTGGTGCAAGCCAGTGCTTTAATGTTCTCGCTACCTTGGTTTTACTGGAGGGGAAGCTGAGGCAGAAGCAGGTGGTGTGACCTGGAGGTGTAGTAGGGTCACTACGCAGCTCCAGGAACAGAAGCAAACTTCCTCAAGCCCCAGGCCAGTGCTGTCCTACAGCCCGATATCTGATTGTACAACCAGGCAACAGCCACCTGGTCTTGCCTTTTCTTTCTGTTGGTGTTTTTGCACATTTAAGAGAGCCGGCTGGGACCCCCCCCTCAAACCAAGCCCTGGAGTCTGCCCACTTCAGGCTGACCAACTCCCAGCCTTGCACCAGGACTGGTGGCAATGGGAGAGGAAGAAGGGGCACCGGTCGTTACTCACATATTGGTAGGGCAGTATAACAGCAAGGATGATGCCACCGAAGAAGAGTACCATGAGCATCACGAAGAGGACGCCCTGGTAGGAGGTGAAGTCAAACTGCGGAGGTAAAGAACATCACGTTACACGTGCAGAGTCCGTGCCCACAGGGAGGGACCCTCCGGCAGCACACCCGTCCTGCTGTCACATGGCAATTGCTTCATCTGCATCTCAGGTCCTATAGCCCAACACCCATCCGTGTGGTGCAGAGCCAAACACTCACCGTAGCCCCTTTATTGCCGTGGGCAAGAACTCAGTACCCATCGCTTACCTGAAATCCAAAAGCCCATCACACACGTTTGTGCCAGTGCCCTTCTGTACCCCACAGCCTAGTCCTCCAAAACAAACCCAGTTTACCCACACACATTAGCATATTCCAGCCTCATCTATACCCACGACATCCCTCCCCCCAGCATCTGTCCTAATCTTCCTGTAACCCTCATTTTACAGCCCAGCATCCCCCAGGTTGCTCCTTTATCCAGACCCCTACAGACCTGCCCCTTCACACCTCGCCCCCAGCTCTGCCAGGCCCTGTGTCTCTGGGAGATGCTTCTGCCAGGGGGACTGATCAGCACAAGCTCACCTTGGTCTGGAAGCTGAAGATGGTGACAGACAGACACACCAGGGCTGTGATCCCCAGACACAGAAGGACTGACTTGGTATTGTAGTAACTGCAAAATTAACAGCAAACCCACTTTTCAGTGTTTCCCACCGGGACAGGTAGGAGGAGGCATTAAGACAGGCAGAAGCTTAGCAGCGGTGTACAAGGAAAGCATGGGGCACAAACAGCACTGAAATTATCAGTGTCCCCCCTTAACGTAGAGGGAAGAATAGAAAGCACTAAAAAAAGGCTAGATGGGTTTTCCTCTTGCTTTAAATAGAAGACGATAGGCAGGAGGGCATGTCTGTGCCTTAGGGGAACTCATGAGCAGCAAAGATGGGGACTTACTATAAAAATCTATCTGTCCATGGACAGATGGTAAAGGGGGAGGATTCAAACTGGGAGGCAATAAAAATAGAATTACAAATGTCATTGCAGCACACTGAGAAATCAGAAAGCTGCAGCCATTGTTACACTACTGATGTGCTTGTAACAGGGGTTTGGGTCTTGGAAAACTGCAAGGAAGGAAGAATTTGAACAGGTGAAGAGACTGGAGGCTTAGATTAGAATTTATTTGTACATCTGACTACTGATTTTGGTTATAACACCAGGCTCAGCCCTAAGAAAACCCAGTCCCCGCTCTCCCCTTCGGTTTGATTGGAGAGTGGTATCGCTGGTATGTTCCCCGAATTGCTGAAGCTGCTACTTTCTTTGTCCCCAGCACACATCCATCAACACCCACGGGCTCATCTGCCTCGTCACCAGGGACCCACGTGAACCAGGGCTGATCCTGTGAGCAGACTCTAACAGTAAAAACACAAGCAAAAGGGAGCAAGCTGTAGACTACAAAACCCCCCTGAAACTGCTGGAAAAAACTCCTTGTCTCACTCCAGCCCCATCTGCTAGAGTGCTGCTTAGTGGAAAAGGTGAGATCACAGCGTATGGCAGTCGCCTGTAGCCCATCCGTGCTGGCACTGCCTTCTCCCTGGCTCTCTGGTGCTCTCCTGTAGGATTTAGCACAGCCAGGAACAACCCTGTGCTGCCTCAGCTCTGCCAGGGCAGGGGATGCCGCCAAAGGTCTTGGGGAGCTTCTTTAAAAAGTATTTTTAAAAGGGAGAGTCAGGCTTTGTGTGGCTACTGGAACAGCTCCAGAGAGATCAGGTAGCCCATATATTTCAAAAGTAGGGAAGTTTTTTTGCAGGAAGAGACAGGACACGGGACCAGAAGGCATCCAGAGGCCACATGCTCAACTTACCTGGAGAGCATCCCAGTGAGATAAGCCATGGAGAGTGTCTGGGAGGGAAAAAGAACCATTACTTCTGCATTCATGTCCCAGGGAGACACACACAACAGATAAAACATTTCAATTACACCGATAAGTGCAGTGAAACCTCTTAAACAAATGCTCAAGAGAAGAAATTTTTGCATAGTTTCTAATCCTCCAGTGATTAATATCCACAGGGCAGGTTAAAATGAGGGCAGGCCACCACCCTGAGAGCAGTCCCACCTTCTCCATCCCCCTACCCCTCTTGCACTGGACTCCAGCACCCTAGCCCAGCTCCCATCACCCACCAGCCTCTGCAGGATATTTATTTATTTTTTAAACAGAGGCTCCCTTCTTCCCTGCTTATCGCATTCTAGTTTGGTTACAGCTCCTCAGCTCAAGCGCAGGGCAATTAGAGGATGAAATTCCTGCTTTCTGCAGGAATCCCAACCAAACATCTCTCCTGCTTGGAGCCGTTATGAAAGCCAGGCCGGTTGCAGGGGCAGGGCAGACACTGTCCAGATGTGCTACTTACAAAGATGCTCAGCAGGATCAGATTCCATGGGAAATACCTCCTGCAAATGAAGGAACAGTGGCTGGTCAGCCCTGCGATAGAGATAGTCACCAGCGCTGCACAATGGGTTGCGTAAGATGTGCCATCTAATTAATGGCCTGTGCAGCAAATGGCAGGGGTGGTGCAAGGGGACAGTCATCCTGTTGGGCATCAGAGCACATTTAGGGTGCTCCTAAACCAAAAGGGGAAACGAGCCCATGATATTCCAGCAGAGCAGCCAGCAGTGCCCTGCTCCACCGAGAGCAAAGATGCCCATCCTCCGCAGTATTCAGTAATGAGAATTCGGAGCTACACAGCGATGCAATTTCTGCTGCAGTGTAGCTTCCTTCCCAGTTGCAATTTGATTTCAGCTTTTAATGCTGTGTTGCAGTAACCCACAACTGTGTCAGGCCTAACAATACAGCTGCCACCTCAGTCCCTACATCACTGTGTCAGCATGACCCCATCCCACCCCTACAACATTGTTGGTCACGCTTGGAACGAGGAGAATATTCATCCTTCATTTCGCAGGGCTGTTTCAAATCCAAAAGGAAAATATTTTACCTGGGTCCAGAGCAGCAAGCAAGAATCAAGTAGGTCACAAAGAAAACAGCGCTGCAAAGAGAGAAAAAGAGCAGTTAGGGAGGAAAACCTAAGCATTGTGCGTTGATACAGGAGAAAAGTCTCCAGCTAAAAAGTTTCAGTGCCCTGCTGCCCTGTTTAAAATGCCAGCACGGTGCCAGAAGTTGAAGCTGGTTAGGGAGCAAGGCAGTTACTCCTCCTGACTGGAGCCGTTTTCTGCCCACAGCTCCCTACATTGCGCGTGCCAGTCCCCAGGGTGGGACAGCACAAACACCCCTGAAAAAATCTGAGGGATGTTTTTAGAGCAGAGCAAGGGTAGCATTCAGGTCGAGGACAGACGGAGCAGCCCACTGTGTTTGTTGCTGACACCTGGTCAGTGCATGAATTGCTCCTCTGGAGGTGGCCAGACTTTGCCCCTCATTTCCAGGCACTTCCTGGCTTGGTGGGATCAAGGTGTCCTTAATCAAGCACTTAAACCAAAGTTCACAGGGCTGGTAAAAGTGACTTGCCCAAGGCCAGATGGAAGGTCTGTGTCAGAGAAGGGAACTGGTCCCATGTTACGGCACCAGCTCCTGAGGAAGCGTTCAACAGCAGAAAGATCCTCTAAGGTCAGTGAAGCTCGCAGACCCAAGCCTAATATGCTGTTGCACAAGCCATCCCCAGGTCACAGGAGAGTCATTTATCTCGCATGACGTGACCCTTCAGCAAAGCAAAACAACCCAACAGCTGAGGGATGGTCTCCCTCTGCTCTGGATGTCACGCAGCCCGGGTGTTTTTCCACACTGCTGATGGGTTATGGCGCAGTGGGAACCTGCTTTCACCCAGCGCCTGGAGGGGGAAAAGCAGCTTCCAAGCATGCCGATGGCTGCACGATAGCCAGTCACCTTCGGTCTAATAAATGAACACGACGGCAAAACCCACGGGCCATGATAAATGCACCAGAGATAAACCTGAGCATTGCTCTCCCACAGGGAAACCAGGAAAGCTGGAGTGGACACAGCTGAATAGGTGAAAAGAAAGCATGTAGGGAGCAGAGCGAGCTGCTGCAGTCACCCGGCCCCTTTGCATCCCTTGTTGCGCATCTGCTCTTGCTTTATTCCCTCTGAGCCATCGCTCCAACAGGAAGAAAGCACTCGAGGGCACCCACTTTTATTTTGCAGAGGTGTATATAGAGTTAGGGTCTCTGTGTATGAAGGAGATCCAGATCTAGGTTAGGACAAGCAATTGGGGACACGGGGATGGAGGCAAGGGTTGGCTCGCTGGAAGGAGAAGGGACAGGCAAAATTTAAGTCCCTCGAGTAGACAGCTTACCCCTAGCTGGCCCAAGACGTGTTTGCTCCTGCTGAAAGTTAGACAAAAATAAATGCTAGCTGACCAGTAAGCTGCAAGAGTCAGGTCAAAGCATGGACCTGAGCAGGGCTTGGCCTCGTCTCCCTAAAAGGCAGCGCTGGTTCTCCAGCCTGCCAGCTGGCCAAGGAGGAGCGCATCATTTTCCCTTCCGGTCGAAGAGGCATGCTGATGGCGGTTCTATTACTGCTAGTTTGGATCTTTTTTTCTAAGTTATATAAGCTAGTGTCTCATCTCCGGCCCTGGGCACATTTCATGATTTGGGTGTGAACTAATTAAAGCCAAGTTCACAGAGTCTTTTTCACAGACGATTGCATCGCACACTCTGCCTGCTTAATGAGCAGCACTAACACAAGCGGCACCCAGGAAACGCACGGAAGCGCAGCCTACGCTACCTCCAAACTGACCTTTTAGACCAGGCTTGGCTAATGAACAGCATCCCAAATTCTGGGCACTGAGAGCGGCTCCGTGATGAAGGCCCAGGCATGACAGCCCCACTCAGACACAGCCAGAAACATCCTGATACCTTCAAACGCACCCACCCCCTCACCCCCCTTCACATCTGTTGCATATCAAGGCACACAACAGAAACCCAGGCAGCCTCCTTGCTTTCGAAAGGAACAAACCCAAAATCGAGCTTCTAAGGTACCCTGGGCACCCTTTCCAGGACTCACATCTGGGTTTCCGCACTGTTTTCCTGGCAGCTCCCCAGTTTTACCTGGTTTGCTCTGCAAGAAATGATCATGTATTTACTTTGACCCTGGTTTGTAGAGCCCTCTTTCTGCAAGTCTTTGGAGGTATCCAGCATCTCTCATGTCTCAATCATTTAGGTGAGACTTTCTATTTCTCACCTCAGAATCCATGAACTTCCCCAGCTTCCCCTGCACACATATTTGAGCAATTCTTCACATGCAAGATACAAAAGTGTTTGGAAAGTGTTTCCACATCACCACAGCCACATCCAGAGCTGTTTGGAGCATACATGGCCATAGGAGAAGACAGAGATACTCACTAGGAAGCCCAATACCAGGCAGAGTGTGTCTGAATGTACCCCTTGACCGGCTCACTGCAAGACAGAGAAAATGGATTCTGAGCAGAAGGCATAAAAAAGCCAATCACTTCATAGGTTGTTGCTAAATTAAACGAGGACAATGCAGCACAGGGTATGTGAAAAAAAAACACCAAACCAAAATACAGCTGAATCCACCCATCAGACTGACCAACTGGAAAGAAATTCAACCTGTCAAGTTGGAAAGACAGCCTTGCTGTTATCAATCACACAGTTGGGCTTGCTTGAGGAACGGCCACTGCCTTCTCTGAGAAGTGATTAAGGAGCTGAATCCTCAGGCTGACAGTGATTCATTATTTATTCTGGAGGCAACGCGAGCCACGTGCCCAAAATGCTCGGTCATCCGAGCTAGAGACGGCTGCTGCTCGAGCACGGGGTTGCTGCTTCTGCAAGGGGAGGTAACCCAGTCCCTGAAGCTGAGGTGGGCTGGGATCTGATGGCCTTGATAACTCCCAAAGGGAAAATACACCAGTTAATACTCAAGGGCAAGCAGCCCAGGCCTCTTGGCTGGGATGGCACTCAGAACAGACAATGCACCGTCCAGAGAACATGCAGGAAAGGTAAAAAAAGTACTGAAGGACCTCTCTGAGTTCTGTCAGCTTTGTTTTTCTATTGGAGCGCACGGGAAAAAAAAATCAGGTATCTACATAACAGACAACACCCCCAAGTAACAGGTAATTCAGGATCAGGTCATACACAGGACAAAGCAAGCATTACTGCTACATAAGAGACCTACCAGAAGGTGAAAAAAGCCACAATGACAACAGTGACCAAGAGCTGGACCATCAGGATGGCATAAACCTGCAACGAGAGGCAGCCCCTGGGTGACCTGCAGACCCTCTGCTTCCCACCCTGCCCAGGGAAGCCAGCGAAACCACCGCAGCCAGGCCCCAGGGGCTCAGAGCTGGGCTCTTGCCTTCGCAGGGGAAGGCTGAGCCTGGAGACACTCGCCCCTTACCTTCCTGATGAACACTCTGCGCACGTTCCTGTCATCCCAGCTGAAGGTCGTGAGCATCTCCGTGTCCCCTGGGTACCCGCCACTGCCATAGCTCGGGCTGGTGCCTGAAGCAGAAGGCAGACGGATCAGTTCCCATCACCCAGTTCCCTCCCCAGCTACAATAATGTGACCCCAGTGATTGACTACAGCTCAGGGGGCCCAAATTTCAAGGTTTTCTTGTTGCATTGCAAAGCAGAGGCTTGCTGGGATACACTCCACTCCTTTCCCACTCCTGCGTCTTATTGGGACCATCTCAGAGAGCAGAGTGGGGAAACCACTTTGGCAAACTCCGGTACAACAGGGGCACAAGGGGTAATTCCAGTCTATAGTAACACTGTATCTTTAATGGTAATTAGAGGCTCATATCATATCCTTCCTCACCTTTCACTGAATATTAAAGCATCCCCCAGAGAAGCTGTGACTCAGCACCTCAGTCATTCCCCTCAGGAGCGCTGGTGCAGGATTCCCTCGCTGCTCTGTAATTGCCTGAGCTTAGACTGTGTCTGCATCATGTCTTATGTCAACAGCGTGCCCTCTCCTCTGAGAGGCTCCTTACAGCCAGCTTTTCTGTAAGGTTCATCCCCGAATTTGATTTCCGCACAGGGAGTCAGGGGATGGTTTAGCAGCAAGCCTAAACCAGGAGGCAAACTCCAGTGCTACTGCTGAGAGTACCATCCCCAAAAATCATCGCGCCACACAACCCAGCTCTGCTTTGCTGAAGGCTCTGTAATACAAATTCCTGTTGCTGGAGTCTCCCTGCAGATGGGCAAGGAAGAAGGCTGGACCACAAACCATCAGTTTACTCTGCAGCCTGAAGGGGGATGGAGGGAAACGTTGGAAAACCTCTGCCTGCTGGGGAGGCAACGGTGCTGACAGCCAGGGTTTGAAGGTAGCAGCGAGGATATTGCAGGGCAGGGGGCTGCAAGGAGAAGCCCAAAGCAGCAGCTTCTCCCTAAGATCAGCCGCACAAATTGGATATAAATCTGCCCCTCCATCTGCTGGACCTCACGCTCAAGAAAAAACTAAACAAATACTGAAGCCTCCGTTGTCTTAGTGCATTGTTCCCCTGTGCTATTTGCTTCTCTTGCAAATATCCCCTCCCGTGTTACTAACAGCCTCCCCGCCTGGGTTTCCTACAGAATGAAGGCTTATGCGATTATACCAGTTATACATTCATGTCTCTGCCCGTTTGACAGATGCCTCCCCTCCTTCTCGAAGCTTTTTAGCTCCGTGATACTCGGATCATTCAGGCAGATGGAGAAGAGACCCTCTCAAACTCCGAGGGCAGGCTGCAGACACCAGAAAAGCCAAACTTAAGGCCTTGGTCCTGGATTTCTTCTGGATTACTGGTCAAAGGTTGCTTGCTCTTATTGCAGAAGCCTCGTTCTAAAGATGCCCCTGACAGGAAATAAATCCCTTGTGCTCTTGTGCCCAATAAATCTCTTGTGCCTTCTTCTACGGCCCAGTGGAGATGAAACTCCTGCAGTGCACCCTCCCCGTGTTTGAGCCATCTGTCATCGCCATGCAGGGCTGAGAGCACCCGAGGCCCATATCCCCGGGACACTTCAGTGCCTCCTACGTCAAAGCAATCAGGGCATCTAAACACCGAATTAGGCACTTAAATGCCTCGGAGGAATGGAGGGGGTTTCCTCCTCCCTGGCCAGTGTCCCCAGCACCCGTCACCTCCCACCCTGTACACTGCATCTAAGGCAGCTAGACGTGTGTCCCAAGCTCATCATTAAAGAAAGCAACCCAAAACACACACTGCTTTTCTCCAACTACTTCCAATCTCATATAAGCTGTTAGACACAGCCCTAGGCACGCATCCCCCCAACCCTGGTACAGGAGCCACAGCTTGTAGCATGGCTGAGGGCAGGGGAAAGGGAGAAGGGCATGAAATCAGAGGAAAACCTCATTAGGGATCAGGGCACAGGACACAGCTACAGAGAGGAAATCCTGCCAGGCTTGTCAGGGAAGGGGAGAATAGATGACACATCACCTAAACAAGTCCTCAGGATACCCAAAATACCAGCATCCTAACCCATTTAGGCTTTCCCCATCCTAATTCATCATGAAATTAGAAAGACCCAGATTTATCCCCTCTGTTCCTGACCCCTGAAGGCAAACAAGAACGGGAAAAGTCTGTGAAACCATCAGAGCATGCAGGGACACACAGCTCTGAGGGGTTTAGCTTGCTCTTTCCCCTTCCCTAACCATCTCCACCCCTGCAGCTGCAACCATCCCTGCCGGATGGAACCAGGAGTCAAAGCGCAGAGGAGAGGAGAGGACTGAGCAGAGAGACAACTCGGGAGTCCTCGGACCCAGTCCCTCCAGCACTCTCTCCGGTTCCAGCTGTGCTGACCGAGCAGTTGGCCGCCCCAGCAGACTCACTTGCCGGCCACTGCATCCATCCCAGCTTGCCACTACACAGCCATTCCCCTGCACTGGGCACAGCTGAGCCTTTGTCGACTGGTCACGACCGAGCAGAAGCTGCATGCAGCACCCAGGGAAGAAAAGCTGTTTGTTTGCCAAGGAGTTGGCCACCCAGCCTGATGCTGGAACAATTCAGCCTTCAAGTCCAGCCGGGTTTTAGCCACCTCTGGCTCGGAGCACGGGCTCACGGCAGCCCCACATCACTGACGCCGCGACACTGATTTTGCCAGTTCAGCGGCTTCTTTGAAAGCCGGGGTTGGGCAGGAGCTGGGGGGGAGCTGCTGCCTGCAGAGCTGGGAGCGTTGCGCCAGGACTCTCCCCAGCCCTGGGAGGTGGCGTTGCCCAGGGCAGCAAGCTGGGAGAGGGGATTTTTCCCATCCCGGTCCTGGGAAGGAGAGCAGGGCCAGGCCGCTGGAGTTCCACCTCTGGAAGGCAGCGTGGTCAAGTGGTTGGGTGAAATGGCTGTTACGTGTAGATGTAGACTTACACAGGTTATAGCTACAGCTCTAGGGCGAGCTCTACCTCGGACCAAACTGTGCACCACATCCTCTCCAAGCCTGCGGGGGGAACCTCTGCCCGGGGCTCTCCCTGCGTACAGCCACAGCAGCACTTACTGGGGTCAACATAAGCCCAGCTGGGGTGAAGCGGGACCGATGGGGGAGGAGGATAAGCGCCAGACTTCATCCCTTCTCCCGCCGTCGCCTCCTCATAGGTCGGAGGAGCTGGTGGAGCCGTGGCATTGTCCTTCTTCTCCCCTTGCCCCTCGGAGTTGGGGGGCTTGTTGTTCACAGAGAGCTGCGTGGGAAGGGGGGGGGTGGGGGGAGAGGAGGGGAGAGAGATTAGCCTGTAAAACCAGCACAGAAACTGCCCCACCCCAGGAAGGGGCATCCTCTGATGTGATGAGGGAAGAGATGGGAACACACCTGATATGTTAAAAGGAATGAAAAATTATAGGCAGCTAAGTCTGAGGGGAGACAGAGCCTTACCCAGGGTCCTCCACAGTGCTTCAGGTTCATAGGTAACACTGGAAAGCATCCAAATAATTCTCTGCTTTTCGGCCTACTTTCTAAGTTTCCCCTTAAAAAAAGGAGCTTTCAGTTACTGGGCAGAAAATACTGAACTCCTTCATTTCCACTTACACCCACGTTTTGAGGAGTTTCTCCTAGCCCCTAGGAAGCGCTCTGGTTTGGCCCTCCAACATTTTCTTCTAGCTTGTTCCCCTCTGCCTGTCTGGAGGCTCAGCCTTGCTGTTTTCCATAATTTGCAGATGCAGTTAAGGGACTTGGGATTCCTTGTCGTCAGAGTATGGAATCCCAGCAACAAGCCAGCCCCAGGCCACCTGACAACTTGCTTCTCCTTGGGAACATTATGCATTTAACCTTCTAGATCTTCGTCTTCCTGGGATAAGTTGTGAGCCTGGTATCCTGCCCTTGCTGCCAAAGGGGGTGTCACCTCAGCATCAGGGATAGCATCCCCATGGATCACACGGATGCAGGGCTAGAACCACAAAAAAAGGCCCAAATGAAGCAGACAGACTAACTAGCACTGCGACAGAGAGCGCAGCCCCTGCAAGGAGGTCTTAAATTAAAGGTGTAACAGGCCCTTGGAAATAAAGCCAGGGTACCAGGCTGGGATGTGCACCACAGGCAGCTCCAGCTGCATCAGGATAACCGTGCCACCTCCTCTGCCGGCTCATGGGGACTGTCCTCGCCCTGTCCTTCATCACGTAGCCCTTGGGCATAGGGTGGCCAATATCTCACCAGACCCCCAGAGATACCCAGGGAGATACCAGAGGGATGGTGCTGCCTGCATCCAGGCAGCCTCCAGCATCGTTGCCATGGCAATGGCGCACTGTGCTGGCAGAGGATGCCTCACCCCTGCCGCCTCCCTGGTCTCAGAGCACTGGGAGAACCCCCAAACCCCAGAGCGGAGGTGCCCAGTGCTGACTGCAGGGGGCACGGCTGGGAAAACGCAAGCACCCCGTTGACCTCCCTGACTTCCAGGATGGGTGGAGGAAACAGCCACAGGTCCAACAGCAGGGTTGAGCCGCACACCCAGCACCAGTAAAAACAGCCCCCAACCCCATAATGAGAGCGCCCTCCACCCCCTTCCCCTGCTGAAAACTTCCCCATCGCAGAGGCTGATGCACTTGGCTGCACGCAGGTGCCCGGTTCCCCCCTCTGCAGCAGCTGTTCTGTTCCTTAAATCCCTTCCCTTCAACCCCCTTTCCGCCCCCTCCACACACGCAACAATTCTGCAAACAGGCCGGCTCACCACCCCGGTGCTGGCCTCCCACCTACCTTCCCCTGGGTCATGGCTCCTCACTAACGATGCGATGCCGCCGGACCCGGGAGCAGCCGCGGGAGGGAGAGGGCCGGAGCTGAGCACGCGTCTCCTCGCTGGATCCCCTCCACCCCCTCTCCCGGGACGTCTCGGGGCTGGCTGCAGCCGCTGCAGCCTCCGCAGCCTGCGCGGGTGCCTTCACCTTCTAGCAACATCCACAGAGCAACGGGCGCCGGAGGGAGGACCGTACCACTCCCAGCCTGCAGCACAGGGGGAAGCCGGGAAAGAAACGGCTAAAACGGAGCCGAGCAGCGATGGGGAGGATGCACAGAGACTGGGGAGGCAGCAGCAGGGCCCCAGCGCCGCGGGATGGGAGGCTGCTGCCCCAGAGATGCTGGGATTGCAAGGGGGAGGGAGACGCGAAGGATGCTTTGCTGCAGCATCTCTCTGCTGCTGTGTGTCAGAGCCGAGCGCTTCCACAGGCCCTGCTCCAGCCCGGCACGGCGGGCGAGCGGGGGGGCTGGAGGCTCTGCTGGGGCACAGGGGAAAGTCTGAGCCAAGCTCTGCAACGTGAGAGCAGGAGGGAGGAATCACACACTGCCTTGACTCCCTCTTCCTGACCCTTTCCAGGCATTTGCCCCACGTGTGTTGTCTTCTCTGACCCGACGCAGCCCCAGGGGGGCAAAGAGAGTTTGGAGGCGTCCCAGGGCAGCCAGCAGACCACGAGCACCGTTCAGCCCCCATGACCAAAGCAGAATTATTAATTCAAGCCCATGAAATCGGCAGCTAAACGTGGCGTCCAGCTGCCAGACCAGAGCACATCCAAGGGAAGGGGCACAAGGTGAATAAGGTTTTGCCCTCCGTGCCGGGGAGGGGGTGTGGGGGCTCAGGCACAGCTCACAGTCTCAGGGGCACAGGGAGATGGAGACATCTCCTCTTATGCCACAGGCAGCAGGAGAGGGGAAAAAATGTCACCTTACATAGTGAAGTGCTTCACATGGGCAGAAAACTTGTTCAGGACAGAGGAAGAAGCCGTGCAAACACAGCACACCCTCTACCTAAACACATGGGGAGTCAGGCTAGTGCTGAATGAGAGGTGTCAGCAGAGCAGTCTTGCACTGTGTTCCCACAAAATGAAAGCACAATTTCAGGCAGTTCTGTGACTACGCTGGGGATAGGAGCTGTGCCCTTGCATCCCAGCTCTCCACATCCTCCCTCTGGTCCTTCCACAGCCCCCTCGAGCCATTAATTGCTTGTCATGCCATAAGCATGCATCACACCTCAAATTAGTTTGCCAAGTCTATAATGTGGGTAGAAAAAATAAATTAGCTTGTCTGTTTACCCTGCCATGAAAAAAAAAAATACTGCCACATTTTAGGTTCCCTAAATGCAGTCCTAGAAAAGGTGAATAGTCTGTCGGCAAGGAAAGGAGTTTGAAAAGACCATCCCCATTTTCAGCTTCTGTGAAGAAGTAGGCAATGGAAGGGTTAAAAGGAAAGCATGAGCTGGAAATGAAAGAATGCAGCCAAGCAATGTACAGCTGGCACCCATACAGACCTAGCCCCAGCTATTCAATTGGAAAGAAAGGCGATTACCACAAAGACTGCAAAAACTTGTCAGGATTATTCAGAATCAATTAAGTGCCAGTTAACCACAAGCTCCTCAAGGGCTTTCATTCTCCTCGAGGTCGAGCAGAGGCATAAAACTGGGCAGGTCCCAAGTGAGGGAGGGAAACCCAACCCAGCAGGTGAGGCTCTCACTGCTCCAGCTGAGCACAGGGAAGCCAATCTTGGCTTGTTGACCCTCTTCAAGCATGGGATGAGCCAAGGGGTCAGGGGCTTGGGAACAGAAGCTCTAGGTGATGCGTGGCATCGTGGGGAGAAAGGAGACACGGATTTTCTTCAGGAATCCCAGAGGGACTCCCTCCAGCTGCAGTCCCTAGCCAAGCCAGATTCCTTGGTGGGATAATGCAGGACCCCACATGCTGCATCCCAGGCTGAAGATGCTTCAAAGAGCTAAAATAGTGGGTCTTGAGGAGTAAAAACCCTCTGCAAAGATAAGCAGATGGCATTGCCTACCACAACAGCCTCCCTCTAAATAAAAAGCAGCAAGAAAGAGAAACCAACCCCCTCCACCATGCTGTTGTCCAAAAGGCCCACTCTGGAGGGTATCTCAGTCTTCCTTCACTGCCCAGCCCCAAAACAAATGCAACACCAACAGGCAACGTTTGCAGGGGGTTCTGAGAAACCAGCATGTCTTCCCCCAGTCTGGAAAATTAGCTGGGAGAGCCTGTGGTCTGCAGGGCTTGAAAGAGTCTCATCTCTGCCGTGGAGAAGACAAGGATGACTCTACCAGCTAAGAGCAATGAAAAGCAGAGCCCTTCAGCCCTTGCAGGCACTTTTCCACTAACAAAGCTGCTCCGAGCCTGGCTCCTTGCTTCTCCTGTTTAAGCTGGAAGCTCTTAAACATTCCAGAGTCCTACCAAGAAGGCAATTTTCTCTAGATCCTCTTTTTTCCCCAAACTCAGATGCATTAGGAGGATGAGTGCACACAAGAGCCAGATTCGATTGTGATGCTCACGCGCAGCAATGGTTCAACATCCCCATCCAGCTCCCTGACCAACTGCTGGTCCAGCTCACTCGGCATCAGGCCACGCGAGGCAGCCCTTCACCTGCCACACATACCTTTAATACTCAGGGGGAAAAAAAATAAATAAATCTCTGTCAAGGCCACACCCTGCCAAATCCACAAGGGATTTCACAGGGATTAAAGCAACTTTGCTGAACACTCAATCACATGAAAAACAAGGTAAAGAAAACCCGATGGGGTAATTAAAGGATCTGATGCATCAACATACCTGATAGCACACCCAGGAGCCCTCTGTAAATATGCTTTCCCTCACCCTCGAGAGGGAAAAGCCCCCACTGGCAATGAAAGCTCTGCCATTGACTCAAAAAAAAAAAAAAAAAAGAAATTAAACCCCCCAGAAATTTACCCTAGGCTTACAGGCTGCTGAATTATTCATGGCTTATTAATGCTAAATCTTGCCACCAGGCTTGGCCCCTAGATGGGAGATTAATAGGCAAGCTGTGAACATCGGGGCAGGCACAAATAGGGGGTTGGAAGGATAAGACACCCTTATTCTTGTGGGGCAAAGCCCTACCTCATCTCCCCCCCTCCCAGCAGCCCAGGCCCGGGGCAGGCAGGGAGCTGCCCGGTGCCCCGCTGAGCCACCCCGGGGCAGCACCTCCACGAGAGGTGGAAACCTGCTCCCAAGAGCCAGTGCCTCCCTCCCTGGCCTCGTACCTTCGCTCGTGTACAGAGCCCTTCAGCTGAAACAGCTCTCCTTCCTTCCCAAGCTGTTCCTGAAGAGCAGAGAGAACTTTCCCTTAACACGCAGTAGAAGGAGCTGATCAACCCAGAAGCATTTGGGGTGGGATGTTCTCCTCACCGGCTTCTGCGGTAAGCTTCAGTCTCTAGCTCCAACCTTAACAGCACAGACCAGTGCCTGAGCTGAAAAAAGAAACCCATCTCCCCCTTTATACCATCAGTTTTCCATTGCCTGGAAGAAAATCCTGCAAACTGTGCCCAGGTGAGCTCTTGCACCTGAACACAGGCACCTTGACTGCTGGGGAAAATTAACTGAAGTGCTCAGAAGGGCATTTTAGTTAGAGAGGGCTCAATCCCCAATGGTGGGCAGTAGCTGCAAGTCAGCTGGGGACCATTATCAGAATAAGCTTCTTGGCTGCTTGCAGTTGTTTGCCCATGCCCTGGGGCTAGGACAGTGCCAGGATTTGGGTGCTGTCTTTGAGAAATTTTGCCCTATTTTTTTTTTTTTTTAAATGTCTCCAGAGCTGTGCTGTGTGATTTTGGTGATTTGCAGGGAACAGGTCCCAGTGGTGAGGTTAAAAAATAAACAGAAGCAAAATCCGTGATAGCCACAAACCACGTCAGAGAATAAGAACGACACATGTGCATACACCAACCAAACAAATAGATAAAGATGAGACACTCCCCAGGATTAAATTGTTCAGCTGCTCAGGAGCGCGTTTCACTCATCACTGCCAGAAGAACATGTTCTTACCACCATCATGAGCATTTGATGGTGTTAAACGAAAGGAATTGCACACGTATGCAAACTTGCCTCACTGGGAGTGGGGGAACAGAACAGGTTTGGGTGACACTTGGAGTGACACCTTCATGCCACTGTGCAGTTTCTCCTTTAAACTATTATGAAGGAACTTTACATAATACGATCCAGGGATGTGCACAGGAATTTTTAAATTCTTTTGAGCCCGTGCAATGAGTGACCCGTGGCCTTGTGGTGACACAGCAGCCTGGCACCCAGGACCCAGGTAGTCAGCAGGGAGAAGAGATGGAAAAAGAACTTTGCTGCATTTCAGAGCCCAGATTTCCAACACTGAAACTGGCCTAAAATCCAGGTTTGTTGGTGCTGTCCTGGAAGGAGCCTCTGTCTTTGCCCTGGAAGCTCAGAGTTGGAAGTGAGGGGATTTCCCATCTGGCCTAACGACGTCCCAGGAACAGCTTGTAACGTGTGCCTCGTCCTCCAAGCCCCTGACATCTCTCTGCTTTGCCTGTGTCCCCGAGTGAGCAAACACCTTTGTGTTTTCTCCTTCACATAGCTCTGAATTTCCAGGTGAGCTACTTCCTTCCCCCTTTTCCTCCTTAAAACACATCTTTCCCATGACAGCCCTGCACAGGTGACTTTGCTGGGTCAGGAGGTTGATGCCTGCCTTGCTGAAAGAAATTTAATTTCCTAAAACTTGCCCATTTGTCTGCAGATTTCTCTCCCACTGTTATACCACGTGGGACCTGATATGCGCTGTCTGAGTCTGTACAGTCTTGCACCAGGCTGTCCTTGACCGAGATCAGGGCTCCTACGCTCCACAGTAAAATAAGGTAGAAGATTTGCAGTCTTGGTGTGTGCTTTTTGAGCGGGATTTTCAGTCTGTGGTGTATGACAATGCCCCCCCTGCCCAGCGAGACCTGGCCCCTCTTGGATTCACACTGCAGCAAATTGATGGGCTCCACTGGACCTGCAAAGAGAAACGCAGGGTTCCCCGGGCAGCTCAGTCCCCACCCAGGAGAGAGCGAAGCTTTCCACACACTGGACTTGGCTGGCAAGGTCTCAGAGGAGCTGCCAATGCTCCACTACACTTTATACCATTCAGGGAAGCAAAGCAAATTGCACTGACACTCCAGGGCCAGATCCCATCAACACAGGCATAAACGCAGAAGGAAATCAGTGCAACAACCCAGATTAAAAAACAACAAAAAAAAAAGAGAAGTCCTCAAGAAGTCTTTCTACCAAAGTAGGATGGCAATTCATCCTGCTGACAACCCAATCCCTGCACCGCACCCAAAAACCCACACAGAAATCAAGTAACTAACCACAAACAAAAATATCCCACGCTGAA